TTTTATTAACAACTTTAATCTTTACTTCTCTGGAAAATTGTTTATATTGTTAGTTTCCCATTGGTTGAGTTCACCTAATTATAAGTGGCATTTAAGATGTTTCTGCGTCATTTATGACTTGTAAGTAGCGGAGGAGTAAGTACCAAAGATAACGAGAAAAATAATAACAACATAAATTTTGGTGCGACTAGAATCATACATGTTTAAAAAATATTTTAACTGTTAATTTCATATTATAGTTCATTGATTTTATTTTTCTTAATAGTTGTGTGAAAAGTGAGAAATGTATAAAACCAAAAATAAATATGCAAAACTAAAATTAAAATTTTTTAGTGATATTTTGAGGATGCATAATATCGGAAAGACTGATGTATAAAAGAAAACTGAGATATAATATTGACCAGCGAAATCTGTTAATTAAATTTAGGTTAAAACAGTTTTTCTATTGTTCTTCTGGTGTTAAGGGGCACTCTTTGTCAGATAAACTTAAAATGAACATGCCAAAGCTGTTTCTGAGAATGTTCTCCTGATCAAGATCGTGAACGGGTGACATCAAATTAAAATAATTAAAATGGAAGGGTGTGTGTATAAGTTCTAGCATGTGTTTTCTAGGTCTCGGGAGGAAGAGAAATTAGATGTTCTGAAATAGAAATATGTTATCAAAGCTAAAAAAGAAGAAAATATATATAAAAATGAGAAAGAAATAGAAGAAAAAGAAGCAGCACTGTTTCTGGCATATACTGATGATGGTTAAGGAATTATAGTTTGCTACGAAGATCTTTCTTTCCTTGGTGGCATCGGTCTTTATATATTCCACCGTTCTCTGAATATACCAGCAACATATTGCTGCTGAGTACACGTCCATTTCACTATTTTTTTTACCATTAAAACAAGATTAAAAAAAAATACTTAATTAAATATTTGGTTCGAAGAGTTTTATCGCCCTTGTAATCCTACCCGCTTCAACTAGATAGTCCATTAATTGATAAACCGATGAAGAAATTTCAAAAAAAAAAAATGGCTTACTGAATATACGTCCATTATATTCGTTAAGCAATCCATTTTTGGTTTGCAAAATCGTATTTTCCTACATTTCTTTTCTTGTTAAGTTACACCTCATTTTATCTTGGTGGTTTGTAGCTGTTGCGACTTCGGCAAATGCACTAGTCGTACAAATAATAAAGTGTTAAAAGTAAAATTGTCGATTCCACGAAAATTGATTTATCAAGCAAAAATTTATTTATATAATTAAAGTTGGATCGATCTTGGAAATGGATTTGTTGAAAATATTGATTTAATTGTAAAAATAAATTTTTAATATTAAGAAATCAAAAACAGAATTCAAGAATGAAAAAACGCAAGAAGTATTTTAACTTTTAATTAAAGACGGTCGTAGCTAGGGATTCGACTTCTCAATGTTTTCCTAACGAGTCTAATCTTTCATGCAATTAACATTTAAGATCAATTATTGACAATCCTTTCTAATTTAACTGAATCCCCAATCCCTTTGTGATTTCAGTTCTTTATTCTATTCCAAGGCTCCAATCCCTTAGGACCTTTTTTCTAAAGCAAGCTTTAAGGTCAAGAATTATGCGTCATAGAATTTATAAGACTATTCCTAGAACATACAAACTCTAGCAATTAATCAAACGGAATCAAGAAATCAATATTTCTATTGACATGACAGATTCTAATGCCCATTCAAGATTGGCCAGATCATAAACGAGACTAGAAATTTAAAACAGACTAATTACATAATTGAAACATGAAAAATAATTACAAGAAGGATTAAAAGCGTTCAAGAATCCATTGGTTCCATCTCGCCCTAACTACATAAAAAGAACTAGCCTAACATGTTTTAGAAAACAAGAATAATAGATAAAAGAAAAAGAGAATTCATGATAAAACCAAATTAAAGATGATCCACGATGAAGCTTTGAGTTGTTCTTCTTCCTTCTCCTTTTCAAGAGCTCTCATTTGCTTCCTCTCCAGGTCTCTGGCCGCGTTAATCCATCTCCAAAAGCCCTAATTGCGTCTTTTTTTTTTTTGATAACAATTGCGTCTTTTTTAAAGAAATAAAACTAGGCTATTAATTTGGACCAGACTCGCTGAGGAGCTCGCTGAACAAGAATTAATTATGATTAATTCTTTACTTTTCTTGATCTTTATCCTTTGCAACTACCTTTATCCCTTAGTATTTGTAATTATTATTTTATACCTGAAACAAGATGAAAGAGATCAGAATTATATCCATTTGTTGAAATCTTAATATCTTTTGCATTTATTAATAACACTATATTCTTAATCATATTAATCATTATGTATGCTATTTTTTATCTTAAAAACATAGTGTCTATAACACTCATCGATAACATATTTTATTTGAAGTTTTGATCTTTGATATGAAACGTTGAATACACAACTTTTGAAAAACAATTAGCAACATTTTAGTATTTAAAAATTATCTTCAATTTAGGCATAGGAAAATTAAAATTATCAATTTAGTTCCATTGTATTTTTTTTTCTATATATATATATATATATATATATATATATATATATATATATATATATATATTCAATTTGTTCCTATTGTGAGCCTAAACTGCGGTTTAACTATAGTTTATTTAACTCATAAGTCACTAAGCAGACCTAGGTGGCATGTAGTTATTAGGCATTGATAACAATTTTAGTATTGATCTGGATAATTATATACACCCACCAGGGTTAAGGCCCAAACAGTACACAGGCCCCATAACGCGAGATACAAGCATTGTGCAGAAGGGCCAGGAAGCGCAATGGCCTCATAACGCGAAATGCAGGCATTGCGCAGAACCGCCTTATGTAACTTAAAGGCTAAGGAAAGATTCAGTAACAGGCTGGGATCCACTGCGCATACAGACCAACGCACGAAAGACAGCTCCAGCTTGCCACCACTCTAAGAAGACAGACAAATATGTAGACTTATAGCCTAAAAGGCACTAGCTGAGACAGATAAGTCTGCAGCTCATAACAACCAATAAGACTGTATGCCGCCTATCAAAGGTGGCATAAGGCTTGCTATAAATCTGAAAAGTACAAAACCAGGTATGATCATTTGATTCTCATTAAACATAACATAAACTTAGCATTGATACTACCTTGTGCGTCAGAGTGTCTTTGCAGGTACCCCCAATCATCTCCATTGCGCCATAAGTATTCACCAACCTTCAAATACTCAGCATACATTTCAGGCCCACGAAGCACTATTTACAACCCAAAGTCTTCATCTTTCAACCGTGTATGATTTAACCCAATTCATATTGGACTGGTCTGATCAAGTATAGAAGATTTTAGGAATCACTTAAAATCGTAGTCACGAACACATTTTTAATAACTTTTATCAATGAAAACATTAAGCCTAATTATATAGTACACAAATTTTCTTGTTCAAATATGGTAAGATATGATCTATATATATGTTTTTTCAAACCACTTTATACACCTTACTTATACATAATACATAGAAAATCATTTAAACTTAATTAGATTATTTACACTCAACGTGCCTAAACGTTAACAATATGAACCAAAGTTTTTTCAATGCATGTATTACAATCACAACAAATTAGACAAGCATAGAAAAGTGGCACACAAAAGCATTTTTTTTTTTTTTTCTCCTCTCCATACATAAACAAATTCAACCAGATTCTTGGCTGTCACGAAGCAAGACTAGCTGATTGGTTAAAATAATAGAATTGAGAGAGAGCGAAGAAATAAAAGATTAGAAAACAATTTTAATCATAATTGATAACTCAAAATTGTTAACACATTATGAAGAGATGCCGCCGAAGAAGGAAATGGTTAGGGACAAGCACTCAATTTCTTTGGCAAATCCAAAGGAGTAGGGCGGCCCACAAACGTTGTATCCGACGACGTTGCCTATGTCCCTTTTCTTGTCCTTTTTCTTCTCTTTTCACCTCCTTTCATTTTCTCCTCTTATTTCTATATTTCTATATTGTTCCTTGATTGCTTCAAGAAATTGTCAACACAATATCAATAACCTATTTGTCTTGACCAATCTTTTTATTAGCATGGCTTTTCCTTGTTTGCAAAGAAAAAAATTGCAATTCATAAATAATATCATGTTTTATCTCAAAAGATGTGCTTCGTTAATGTTAATCTAATCCCTTTTCTCTTACCTTCTAAATATGATTCACTTTTCATTTATTTCTATTATAATGTTAAACTTTTTTTTTTATAATTTCTCTCTCTATATTATAGGTCAATAATATAGTTATTATGACAAAAAAATAATTTGATTATACTTAAAATATCAAATAATGTATAGTTTCTAGAGGTTACTTATTACAGTTATACTGTTATTTAGTTAATTAGTTGTAAGTTTCAAATAATCCAGTTGTCTATGATAGCTCTTTCTTTCTAAATTTTTTTTTTTTTTAACAGATGCTCTCATGCCCATGATTCCATAGGTGATATAAAAAGGACCGTGTGAACAGATGGGCCGGCCCAAAGAAAGTGGGGCCCTCCAAAATATTTTGTCTTCTATTGTATGCACAAGTATTCCAAAGCCGTGGTGGTAAAAAGTTAAAAAGAGGTAAGCAAAAATGACAAAAATAAGGCCTCTGAAAATCCAGCAAACACTCTGACACTACATGAATGGAGATTATCAAAGACAAACCTCCAATCACAAACTATTGGAATTAGGTTTTGTCTCTTGTTCCCTTGCCTTTGTCATACAATCTGGACTTGTTGACAATCATTCTAAATAAGAAGGGAGAAAAGAGAGACTTTGCTCTTTCCATATACCAACCAAACACTACCCCGTAGGACTCAAGTGGTGCAAAAAGAGGCTAAATTTGAGACACATTCCCTTACTCAAAACTTGAGACACTCAGAAAAAGCAAAAACAACTTTTTAGATAATAATAATTTACCCTTTTCTCTTGTGAGCCTGCCTATTGAGAATTAGTGTTTGTTAGTTAGCCAAAAAAAGAAGAAATGATCAATTCACTGTGTGGAAGCTCAGTGTCTCTCACTTCTTCAAATGACTCAGTTTTGAAGTCAAAGAAAAATGCAACTCAATCCTCTGCTGATTTAGAACAGGCTAGTCTTACTCCACCAAGCTTAAACCTTCCATCACTCAAATTTGATTTGGATGGAGATGTTGAAGTTCAATCACCAGATAGTTCAATGTGGGAGTCCTTTTTCTCTGATCAGTTAGATGCTGATTTCATGATATCTTCTCCAGTGAGGAATGTTCCTTCCCCACAAGCTTCAACTTACAATTGCAACTATAACTATGCTCAGGGTGCTCAATGTCAGAGTCTTTCAGGGTGTTCACCACCTCGTTTTTCATCCCAAAGTGGTGCCCTTAACAGCAGCCACAAAGGGAAAGGACTTAGTCCTCTCCATAGGGTATTTAACTCACCAAACAGTCAATATATGCAGCATATTGAAAACCTTTCACTGCCAGCAATAGAAGAGTTTTTGGAAGATTATCAAGGAGATGGACTTGGTGGTGGATATCCATCAACTAAGGTGTCTTCTGATATTGGAAGTTCATCTGAATGCTTTGACATGCCAACTTCAATTCCATCCATCTTGGATAGCTTGACAATGCCCAATTCCTCAAGGTACTGTGGATCAGTTAGTGAAGAATCCTCAGTGCACGGTGGTTCTTCTCAACTGTCCCAAGAGAGTGATATCTATCACCAGATGGGGACTATGGCTAGTGCATCCCTCTCACAAGCTCTTCAACAAGAACGCTACCATGAGCTTGAGCAAAAGCAGCAAACACAACAACTTCAACAACAACAACAACAGCAACAACAAAATTTGATGGTTCCTATTCCGCTTGGAATCGAGCAGGTATTAAAATCTTTCCTAGATCAATCCTGCTTCACCTAAAAACTTCAAGTTCTAAATTATTTGATTGATTAAATTAATTAATATAATACCCCATCCCCTATTCTGCTATCAAATTCCCTTGACCAAGGACGGAGAATTTACTAATTTCAACATGGCATGGTATTAGAGATATTGGAGAGAGATATAATATAAAATTATTAAAGACTTGTTACGTTGTTGGGTTAAATTGATTGTTTTACATGATAAGTGAAGCCTCAATCAATTATTTTTATATTATATTCATATTGTATTTCTCTAACAATTTATGCCCTGCTATGATCAAATCAAACATTTGAATTTTTATGTTGTCAACTTAATATTATAGGAGCAAGATAGTGGTCTTCAACTGGTGCATCTGCTTCTAGCATGTGCTGAAGCAGTTGCAAAAGAGGAATACATGCTAGCAAGAAGGTACCTGCACCATCTCAACAGAGTAGTAACACCACTTGGAGACTCCATGCAACGAGTAGCTTCATGCTTCACCGAATCCCTAAGTGCAAGACTAGCCGCAACCCTCACCACAAAACCAGCAACAACCACCTCAAACCCCAACAACGTCTCATCAAACTCAATAGAAGTCCTCAAAATCTACCAAATTGTCTACCAAGCATGCCCTTACATCAAATTCGCCCACTTCACAGCCAATCAAGCCATCTTCGAAGCATTTGAAGCTGAAGAACGCGTACATGTCATCGATCTAGACATCCTCCAAGGCTATCAATGGCCGGCTTTCATGCAGGCCCTGGCTGCGCGACCCGGAGGAGCTCCCTTCCTCCGGATCACCGGCGTAGGGCCATGCATTGACTCAGTTAGGGAAACGGGTCGATGCTTAACCGAATTAGCACACTCTCTTCGCATACCTTTCGATTTCCACGCAGTTGGTGAGCAACTAGAGGATCTCAAGCCCCACATGTTCAACCGCCGAGTCGGCGAGGCCTTGGCGGTTAACTCCGTGAACCGCCTCCACCGCGTCCCCGGAAACTTCCTCGGAAACTTGTTGTCCATGATAAGGGACCAAGCGCCCAACATAGTAACCCTAGTGGAGCAAGAAGCTAGCCATAATGGACCATATTTCCTTGGTAGGTTCCTTGAGGCACTGCACTATTACTCAGCCATTTTTGATTCCTTGGACGCCACGTTTCCACCGGACTCGGCGCAGCGGGCCAAGGTGGAGCAGCACATTTTTGCGCCGGAGATAAGGAACATTGTGGCGTGTGAGGGTGCTGAGAGGATCGAGAGGCACGAGAGATTGGAGAAATGGAGGAAAATAATGGAAGGGAAAGGGTTCAAAGGGGTGCCACTAAGTCCCAACGCGGTGACTCAGTCAAAGATTTTGCTTGGTTTGTATTCTTGTGATGGATATAGGTTAACGGAGGATAAGGGTTGTTTGTTGCTGGGGTGGCAGGACAGAGCCATAATTGCTGCGTCTGCATGGCGGTGCTGAAGATTTTACATGATGTTTTGGTGATCGTGCATGTGCATGCATGCAAGCATGGATGTTTCAATATAAAAATTTAATATTTCTTTTTGTTTTATGAATTTAATTTCGTTGTTACTATTGCTTGCTTGTATGTTGATTTTTATCTAGTTGTGTTAATGAATGGCCAACAGGGAAATTAGAGACATGGAAGGCATGAATGAAGATATGCAAGGAAGGAAAAAAGAAAAATGGAAATGTTTTTTAAAATGTAGAAAGTAATTTCCAAAAATAAAAAATAAAAATGTAGACAGTGAAATTATGGATTAGGAACAGTTTTTATTTAATTACTGTCCATAGATTGTTTCAGCTGCAATGTACTTAAACTTGGTTTACGGACCACTGTTAAACAAACTGGACCGACCAGACAATATTGCTAAATTGTTCAGTGAAAAACAAAAATAGAATTTTATTACATGAAATGATAAATATAAAGTATTTCATATCCATGTGCATGGCTCAAAATGTATTAGCAATTTAACAGCAGAAAATCTTTCAAAATAAAAATAATAAATTGTTAACGGGTCTTTCCAATACTCACCCTTCAACTCGAAAGGTTCTTGTAGATGTGTTACAATATAACATAAAATTGTTAAAAATCAATCACTTAATAACTTGAGCTATTATGTGAGATTGTTGCTTATCATAAATAAATATGGTTAACAAACATTTATTTTTGAAAAAGAAAAATCTATGGAAGGTCTTGACTTTGTTTAATTTATTTTGCTTGTGGGGCCACAAAAAGTGTGGTAATTGGCCCAGGATCAGAATGTAAATGATAAAAAAGGTCAATGTTTCTCCACAATCCACAAGAGTCCAAGATCTTCAGAAATCTGGTTAGTGCATTTGAGGAAAACTTTGGTCATTGGATAGAAGAATAACAGGCATATGACTGAGTATATTTGGTAGAACATGGAACGAAAACCAGAAACCTGGGTAACGATCGAGGCTATTGATGGTAAAATAGAAATAAGAGTAATTAAAAACAACCTTACCATGATTAAGAGTATATTTGGCGCAATTCTTTTAACTTGATTTTTTTTAAATTGTAGATAAAAATAAAAATTTAAAATATAAAATTAAAATATATTTGATGATTATATAATATTTTAATTTAAAAACTATTTTAAAGGTCAAACTAAAAATAAATTTCGTAAATTATTTTTAAAAATAATTTCCATAAATTATTTTTGATTAAAATTATAGGAAAGGATATATAATTAGAAACCTCTATATTATTTAGATAAAGATAAATATGATAAAAAGTAAAAGATAACTTTTTATAAATCAACATCAACATCAACATCAACAACACATTTATCCCAAATTAATTGGGGTCGGTGGTAGATGAACCCAAATGAAAGATACAAAAAGGTTGAAAAAATAAACATAAAAGTAAAAATAAAAATAAATAAATAGAATAGTAATAATATATATATATATATATATATAAGTAAAAGTAAAAAAGAAAGGGAAAAGAAGAAGAGGGGAAACGAAGGATAAAAGGACTAAAAAGTAATAATATATATATTTATAAAACTTTTTATAAATAAATAATAAATATTTATATATCTATATATTTAAATATATATATATATATATATATATATAAAGTTATAGAGTAATATATTATTTTGTAAAAAAAAATTAAAATGTTTTTTATTTATCAAATATTTATTAATATAAGTATACAATTTTAGAAAATATTTTAATATATTACTATAAGTAAGGGTTAACAAACTCAATTATAAGTGTGTATATGACAACCATTATGTTCCCTGTAACTGTTTCTGAAAAGAAACGATTATTTTCAATTTCTGTGACTTGGAACAGTTTCTGAGAAAAAAAATGTATTTCATAACATGTTCTATTTTTATTCCGAAATGAGAATTGCATTTGATAACATAACAAATAATAGAATAAATTTTTTTTGGATCATCACTTTCCTTTTCTTATGGTGTGGTGGCGACGGCGTGGTTGTAATGGTGGCGATGGTGGTAGTGGTGGTGTGGTGATGTGGTGATGTGGTGGTGGTGGTGGAGGTAACGGTAGTAGCTACGGCGATGGTAATGGTAATGGTGGCGATGATGGTGGTGATGACGGCAGTGGCTGCAGCAATAATGGTGGTGGCAACAGTGGTGGGAGTGGAAGCATAGTGGTGGTGGTGGTGGCATTGTGCCGGTGGTGGTGGCGATGGCATGGAGATAGTGGTGGAGGTGGTGACGGCAATAGCTACAACGATGGTGGTGATATTGGTGGCGATGGAGCTGGTGGCAACAGTGGTGGTAGTGATGGCATGGTGGTGGTGGTAGTTGGTGACGGAGGTGGTGATGGTAGTGGTGGTGGCAGTGGTAGTGGTGATGGTAACATGGTAATAGTGATAGTAGCAGTGGCGTGGAGGTGGTGGTACAACGACGACGGCAATAATGGTGGCAGTGATTGTGTCAGGATGGTGGTGGTGGTAGTAATGGTGGAGAGTGATTGAATTTGAAAGAGAAAAATGTTTCTCATTTTGTGCCCGGAAATAAAAAAGCAAAAAAAAAAATTTATTCTTTTTTCTATTCTCCATCACATAAGTTGAACCGGTTTATTCTTGGGAATAAAAAAATAAATCGATTTTGTCAAACACTATTTCTATCCATTTCTATTCTCGGGAACAAAAATTTAAAAAAAAAAATGATTTTGATAAGGTTGTCATAGACACCCTAACTCTTTTTTTTTTTTTTTTTTTTTTGGAGTTACCCAACCCTAATTACCTCTTTGAGGCGAGTTGGCTCCCTCCGATATCCCCACGAGCTTCGACTCTTTGAGCCGGCTATGAGACTAATCCGGAGTGTAACTCTGACTTTATATAACTTATTTTTTTTTTTGGAAATAATAGGAAATTAAAACAAAAACACAACAAAAAGAAACTAGGCACAAAGCCTAGACCAGTGAACACCTATAGTGTCACCATACAGACTATCAATACAACCTGACGGTGGACAATCAAATTCCTGAATTACCCAAGAGAAACCATAAGAGTATGAGGCTAATAAGTCCGCTACTCTATTTCCTTCACGGTGAATGTGAGACATATAAATCTGCCAATCTCGCTGCATCAAATTTCGAATACGATTCACCAAATTAGCCGCAGGGTAATCATGGTGGCACCCATTTGTAATGAGCTGTTGAGCTGAAAGAGAATCTCCTTCGAGCCAAACTTGCCTAAAACCTCTATCCCAAGCTAGCTCCAAACCAACCAAGCAAGCCCATAACTCAGCATGCAAAACTGTACCTGAGCCTAAATTTTTACAGAATCCGACGATCCAAGTTCCTGAGGCATCGCGAAAAAACTCCTCCACACCCAGTCCTAGTACCATTAGCATCACATGCACCATCAACATTAAGCTTAACCCAATCCACAGGAGGACAACACCAAGCAACCAATCTCTCTATTCGATTCCTTGGTTGATTGCCCGCTCCAAAAACAGGGTTAGCTGCAAGAGCGACACTATCTCTGAAACCAATTGCTGAACGGATAAGTGAATAAGCATTCTGGCGATCACCTTCAAAAACCCAAGAATTCCTACATTTCCAAATTTTCCAGGCTAAGATTCCAAATAAAAGAGGCCAGTCCGACCCCATCCCCCAATCCTTTGAGCTGTCTAAATTAGAAATGATCCAATTGTGCAGGTTGAGGTTGAAAAATTCACGCTGATTTATATGAGGCATTATCATGCACCATACTTCCTTTGATTGTGGACAGTCGCGAATAGTATGAAGGATAGTTTCACTAGACTGATTACATCTAGGACACAGATCTGAAAGAGCCATATGACGGCGGAGTCTACAAACATTAGTCATCAGCTTCTCCCCTGCCATTAACCAAAGAAAAAAGCGAATTCTTTCTGGCCCCTGCCATCTCCAAACACTTTCCCAAGGAAACTGTTGGATTGTAGTATCTTTGATTGCTAATATTGCATATGCTGACTTAACAGTAAACTTGTCATCTGTCGTTCCATTCCAAATTAAATGATCCTGGCCATCTTGACTAGAAAGAGGAAGAAAATTCATAAATCGATGCAGCACAGAATCTGGAAGCAATTGTCGAAGAGAATTCCATTTCCATTGCCCCAATTCATCCACGTAGTCCACCACCTTCTGAAGAGTATCACTAATAGAAAACTGAGAACCTGCATATGAGATCAAAGGACCACAATCGGGCAGCCAGCTATCAAGCCAGAACATAGTGGACTGACCATTGCCTAACTGCACCCGACTATGATCCATTATAATATTCCAATGACGCGTAATTCCCTTCCAAAGCTGGGAGCTGCTGTTTGGAGCATGAATAATTGGTGTCATGCCTGCCTCCACATTGTACTTAGCACGTAAGAACTTTGACCACAAGGCATCTGGATGAGCTACGAGGTTGAACCCAACCTTCATGATAAATGCTGAGTTCATTTCCCTCATACTCCGCAGTCCAAGGCCTCCATTTTTTTTATCCATGCAAATCTGCTTCCAGGCCACAAGATGAGAATGTCTAGAGTGTGGAGATGAACCCCAAACAAAATTTTGAATCTTCCTATCAATCTCTTCACAGGTGACTTGCGGTAATGAACAAACCTGCATTGGATATGATGAGATTGCTAATAACACTGCTTTAGATAATGTAACACGACCTGCTAGAGATAGACTAGCATGCTTCCAAGTAGCAATTCTAGAATTCATTCGATCCAAAACATAAGAGAAAGATGACCGACCCACTCGCTTATGATGCAAAGGAATTCCCAAGTATCTTCCAAGATCCGCTGTCAAAGAAAAACCAAGAAGCCCACTAAGATGGTTTTCTTGAGTATGACCCACATTCTGAGAAAAGAAAACTCTAGTCTTACTATGATTGACTTTTTGACCAGATGAATCACAAAATATATGTAAGGCCTGTTGAATTATTAACACTTGCTCCTGAGAAGCTTCTGCAA